CAAGCTCAACCAATAGCAGTGCTCATTACAGCCCTATGTTCTTGATTGACCTAGGAAAAAAAATCACGCGAGCGGCGTGCTAATGAAAACAAACCGCGCCACCTATCGGATCTTATATAAATTAATATATTCTTTTAACACTTTTAAATTTATTTCTTTTGTTATAGAAATATATATCAACATGCACGGCAGTGGCAACGGGCAGTGTCTAGTAAATACAAACCGTATTGTAACATCATTATCGCGATTTGCGAATTAGAAAATCCGGTGCCATGGGAATCCTATATAACAAAGATATCAAAATTAAAAAAGAGATGCGGTCATCATTACGATTTCCAGTGTGATTTGATTCCAAGGCAGTCCTAGATAATAAAGACGCCTAAAGTCAGATTAGACGCGACCTTTTCCAATGGTAGCTTCACCTTGTGTTTCGTGTACAGTCGCTTGTCGCGCCCCACAAACCGAGCTCCAAGTGCCTCTAACGTCTTTACCGCATGTGTGCTTTCGTCAGGTGTATAGAAGCAGATCTCTGATCTATCCGGTAGAGCCATTAACACGTGCCTCATCAGCTGACTCTGTACCTGCTCCGTGTCACCGTAGAGTGGACAGATGCCGTAACTCACGCCAACAGTCGCATTGATGGCAACGACATAACCTGTTACCTTGCTCTCAGCATCTGTCGCTACAAACACCAGCTTCTTACAAGCCTGTAAACAGGGACGCAGGTAGTCTCCGCGGTCCTGCCCAGCTATGGACTTGTCGTAGTCGAGTACAGCTTGCAGCATCTCTTCGCTGTATGGCTTCACTGTGATATTAGCATCATCTTCCAGCTTCAGGGATGCTGCGAGCTTGGCGTGATCGACGGTGTAATAACGAGTGGTAATAGTGAACGACTCCGTGGTAAAGCCGTTCTTCTTATAATGATCTACGAGGTACATCATGGTGTTAAGTCCCAGGTTACGGTGGCCGGCGTGCTCAAGTATGCGCTTCAGTAACATACTCCCTATTCCTTTCCGTCTCATATCGCTACGTACTATGAAGTGACCCATGAAAGCTTCGCCACCGACAACAGCAGAATTCAGAAAACCTGCAACGGAGGACGATTGCGATAATACACGTTGACCGTTCGTCTTGTGAATGTTACGAGTAAATCTATCGAATAGCTTGCTTTTTAGTATTGCTCTAGCTTGCTTTACATGTAGCGGTGGGCCGCGAACCTGCAGCTTCCACGAGGAAGTTTATGTCTACAACGTATATACGTACCGACTGATTCCCCGTTGGGTAACACTGCCGTGAAAGCTCCGCCGCCTTCACCGTACTCAACCATGATCTTAAGCATCTCAAGCCCGAAGTCTTCCGGAAATTGACCTATCGTCCATTTCATGACATGCGGCAGATCGGACTCGACAGTAGCCCTGATCGTACACCCGTCCGCCATGATTATTTTCTGCCCACATTTCTGCCTACGTACCCGTTTATGTTTGGTTATAGATAAACGAGGCCGATTACAGAATCCTTATCAACTTTGTGTGTGTGCGCGCGTGTCTGCGTTTATGCGCAAATATTATCCGATATATATATATACATATGGTATGACAGCTCATATTTAGTCTCTCTCTCTCACCCCTTTCTCTCTATCTCTCGCTCGCTCGCTCGTTTGCTCTCTCTCCCTCTCTCCCCTTCTCTCCCTTTCTCGGTATCTCCATTTAACTGTCATTTCGCCAGTTACTGTGTCGGGAGCAAACCGAGGAAAGTAGCATTTCACATGCCGCGTACTTTTATTCAACGAATCTGATTTTATTAGCAGACGCGTGACTGCAACTCATCAAATCAGGAAATGTAGAAGTAAACGGCTAGCACATGTATTCCAAATAATGATACATTTATTATACTTATTGATGTTTGTATTACTGCTTTTACCGCCTTGCACATATTTTAATTCCGATGATTTGTAATTAGCAATTTAACACCATTTCTTTGCCGACACCCCAAGTTATATCTTTTTACGTGCGGGAGAGGTCTACGACAAAAGTGCCAATAATCTTAAACACCTTTAACGTAATCGGCGAATTAGAAACTCGGTTAGTGCTAGATGCCGAAGGCAACGTCATTAAGAACAGACGCGACCTTTTCCAATGGTAGCGTCACCTGGTCCTTCGCGTACATTCGCTGTTGATGCATCACAAACCTAGCTCCAAGTGCCTCTATCATCTTTATCGCAGGCGTGTTGTCGCCAGGTGTATATAAGCAGATCTCTGATCGATCCGGTAGGGCCATTAACACCTGCCGCATCAGCTGTTTCTGTACCTGTTCCGTGTCACCGTAGAGTGGGAAGATGCCGTAACTCACGCTTCCCACCATGTTGATGGCAACGACATAACCTGTTAGCTTGCCTTTAGCATCTGTTGTAACAAACACCAGCTTCTTATAGGCCTGTATGTAGGGTCGCAGATAGTCTCCGCGGTCGTGCCCAGCGATGGTCCTGTCGTAGTCGAGTACAGCTTGCAGCATCTCCTCGCTGTATGGCTTCACTATAATATTAGCATCATCTTCCAGCTTCAGGGATGCTGCGATCTTGGCATGGTCCACTGTACAGTAGCGGTCTGTCATAATAAACGATTCCGTGGTGAATCCATGCTTCTTGTAAAACTGTACGCGGTGCATGACGGAGTCAAGTGCTAGGTTACGGTGGCCGGCGTGCTCACGTACGCGTTTGAGCAACATGGTCCCTATTCCAGTTCCTCTCAGGTCGCTGCGTACTATGAAGTGACCCACGAAAGCCTCGTTACCGACCACAGCGCAGTTCAAAAAACCTGCAAGGAGAGACCATATATACTTATTATCAACGTACACACTTCTGCTTGTGGGTTTTTATTATTATTGAGTTTATTTGTATATAGCTTGCAGTACGTATAGGCGTACGCACTGATTCCCCGATAGGTTACATTGCCTAGAAAGCTCTGCCCCCGTCCTTCTACCTAATTAGCATTAACTCATTAATCTCCGATGTATTTGTGAGTGATTGTGTAGCTTACGATAGAGCTTGCATTGCGTGTTGCGACTTGCTAGACCTTTACCGCTGCTACATCCCCATTCCCATCTGCATCAGCATGTTTTAGCAATATGTTACAATCAGAGGCACTTAGAACGTTTCAATGATAAAATGATGGTAATGAAACACGTAATGTATTTACTACCAGTTTTAAATGTTTCTTTACTCTCATTCGCCATTCATAAGGGTGGGGGTGGATGGTGCGGGGAGGGGGAGGGTGGGGGAGGGGCGGGTGGAGAGGGCTCTAATAGCAAAAGCAATTCAGTCCTTTGTTAACAGTCAACAAATCCATGTTTAACCCTCCTCTTGAGGGTCAAAAGGTTATCAGACACTTGCTCTTCGCACGTCAGCGGAAAGTAGATTTCACGGTCCTTTCAATAAAGTGATAAAAATAGTAAGGCAGCGCTGAAACAAAAAAAGTTTTGCACTCGGTCCGTTAGACCATGTCCTCAGAAAATGTCTGATATCGGACCTTTCCCCCACTGCCTTTTGACCTGTGACCTCCAATTTCGCGCTGGTGATGGGTTTCCTCCCCATCACACTATACATCGAATATTAAGAGTGTAGGTCGAGCCGTTGAGATTTGTGCCGCAATTCCGTATTTCCTCCTATACCTTAAGTTAAGGGGGAAATATTCCCCCTCCATTGACACATCTTGACCTTTGACCCTTGACCCCCAAATTCGACATTCCGTGTCATTTTCGCGATCCCCCCGATGTCCCGAATATCAAGATCGTACGTCTCGCGGTTAAGATTTGTGCCGTAACTGATGACGCACGGACGGACGGACGGTCGGACGGACATTCATGCGATTCTACAAGCTGATCTGACTTCGTCAGCTGAGCTAAAAACTCGATAATTTTGTTGTTTGTGCACAGCGGCGTACGTACGGTGTACTTGTGTGTTGCAGAGATGAATTTGAACGTCATTTACAGGAAATTATCAGTAATAATATGTGAATGAGAATAAATAAGTTAATACTTGGACTTTGGTAGTAAATACATGTCGTGTTTAATTACCATCATTTTATCATTGAAACGTTCAAATTGTCTGTGATTACAATGTGAGCGAATACATGCTTGCTGCTAGCTCTAGTACTATAGCCGCTTACATTAACTGCCGCTGGCAGTTAATGTAAGCGGCTATAGTACTAGAGCTAGCTTGCTGCGAGGTATGTGCAGACGATATATACACGTTAGCGAACACGTACCGACTGGTTCTCCGTTAGTTGTCACTGCCGTGAAAGCTCCTCCGCCTTCCCCGTATTTCAGAATGATCTTGTGAATTTTGAGCTCGTAGTCCTCCGGAAAATCTCCTGCCCACCATTTCAGCACGTACGTCAGATCTGACTCGATAGCGTCCCTGATCGTGCACGGCCCGCCCGCCATGATGCCCTACTACCCAATGTAGCCTATGACTCCGCGTTCACAAATGATTACAGCAGGAGCATATGAACTATGTTACATACTGTAAAACATTTTGTGTACATAAACTTAGTTAATGTGCTCCCGATCAAACAGATCGAGCAGCGGACAGTCTATGTTGGGATAACTCTAGGTTCTGTCCAGTCACGTATATAGTGTACTGTCAGACTAATATAAGTAAGCAGGCCATAGCGAGCGCAGCGGCCAACCTTGTCCTACTTTTGCTTGGCTCTTGGGCCAATAGCGTGTCCTACTCACTCGCCCTTTCTACACCTCTCCACTGATCTATATGTATAACTCAGTTATATATAGATCGGTACTCCCCTCTCTCGCGCGTGCACACGCACACACTCTTTACCTCCCTCTCACTTTCTTTCTATTTTACACTTGCCCCGTCTCCTTTTCTCGTCGGCTATTCCTAAATTTCCCATTTTTGCTATCTATATGCACGTGCGTGTGTGTACCGAGACCTAGCGCGTCTCTGTTTCCGCAGTGATATTAGCCTTACGTTTACTTTCATACAGTCACGCTACAATAGATAGATGGGCCTAGTGACTGTATTCAATGATAATACACTTCCCAGCATGTAGAGGTGATACACGGCGGAACAAAACCTTTCCTTATAACATCTTTATAACGATTTACAATGTGAAAATCCATTTCCAATGAAGTTCTAGATGAAGAAGATATCCAGATTAAGAACAGATATGACTTTTTCAAATTGTAGTTTCACCTCGTGCTTCGTGTAGAGTCGCTTTCCGCGCCTCACAATCCTAGCCCCAAGTGTCTCTATCATCCTTACTGCTGGTGCCCCGTGTTCAGGTGTATAAAAGCAGATTTTTGATCCATCCGGTAGGGCCATTAACACCTGCCGTAGCAGCTGACTCTGTATACCAGCTCCGTGTCACCGTAGAATGGGCATATGCCGTAACTCACGTCTCCAGTCATGTTGATGGCAATGACAAAACCGGTGACCTTGCCTTCAGCATCTGTTGCTACAAACACCAGCTTCTTATAGGCCTGTATGTAGGGTCGCAGATAGTCTCCGCGGTCGTGCCCAGCGATGGTTCTGTCGTAGTCGAGTACAGCTTGCAGCATCTCCTCGCTGTATGGCTTCACTGTGATATATTAGCATCATCTTCCAGCTTCAGGGATGCTGCGAGCTTGGCGTGATCGACGGTGTAATAACGAGTGGTAATAGTGAACGACTCCGTGGTAAAGCCGTTCTTCTTTTAAGGATCTACGAGTTACATCATGGTGTTTATTAAGTCCCAGGTTACGGTGGCCGGCGTGCTCAAGTATGCGCTTCAGTAACATACTCCCTATTCCTTTCCGTCTCATACCGCTCATAAACAGAATTCAGAAAACCTGCAACGGAAGACGATTGCGATAATACACGTTGACCGTTCGTCTGATGAATGTTAGGAGTAAATCTATCGAATAGCTTGCTTTTTAGTATTGCTCTAGCTTGCTTTACATGTAGCGGTGGGCCGCGAACCTGCAGCTTCCACGAGGAAGTTTATGTCTACAACGTATATACGTACCGACTGATTCCCCGTTGGGTAACACTGCCGTGAAAGCTCCGCCGCCTTCACCGTACTCCACCATGATCTTAAGCATCTCAAGCCCGAAGTCTTCCGGAAATTAACCTATCGACCATTTCGTGACATGCGGCAGATCGGACTCGACAGTAGCCCTGATCGTACACACATGCACTTGAAGCGTTTCAACTGTAAACACACGCCGCCGCCATTGCGAGCACACTGACACATAAATATATAGCACACTAAATATACGCACACTATATATATTTATGTGTCAGTGTGCGCGCAACGCAATGGCGGCGGCGTGTGTTTACAGTTGAAACGCTTCAAGTGCCTGTGATCGTACACCCGTCCGCCATGATTATTTTCTGCCCACATTTCTGCCTACCCGTTTATGTTTGGTTATAAATAAACTACGCCGATTACAGAATCCTTATCAACTTTGTGTGTGTGCGTGCGTGTCTGCGTTTATGTACAAATATTATCCGATATATATATATATATATATATATATATATATATAGTAGTAGTGGCACG